GTACTGTGTACATTTTTAAAAAGTCCTTGAAAACTAATATTTAACAAAACAGAAAGCTTTTGCGGACAGAACGTCGCTCCTGAAAGACAGTCAAAGAAAACTAGAGTACCAAGTAAAATGTGGGAAGGATAAAGAGTACCTTAGTATTTGCAGAAATAGGGCCCACGATGCAAGGGTAAGGATACATCGTCTATCTATTTGCAGCCTCAGATGCGGCAGAGAGAAAAAGAAACACACATTTAGAGCAAATATGGGGGCTGAAGCCCAGAACGTCCCACTCATAAAACTACCATTAATCGTCTTCAGTCAACTGGTGGTTTTAGATGCGGGACGTACTTGGTTTGAGTACCCATATTTATGCTTAATCTATATGTATTTCATCTGCATTTGAGTTTTTCACATACCTCTCTTACTAAGAGACATTTTCCTGTTTCGACATTCTAGCTTCTCTGCCTTCATTTAATTTGTCTGTATACTACATATGACGGTTTTTGTTTTTGGTAAAGGTAAAAAGAAGCTTCTTATGCGCTGTTTTCTTTTACGTTTAAATTAATATAAGTGGCGTGTAATTTTTATAAATAAATCAATCAAATATATTTATATAATGTACTGTTGGCAAGGCTAGCTAGTCAAGTAAATAAGACAAACGGGTAAGTTGGTACTCTGTTTTAAATTGATGTAACTTCATCATTTTCTCTAATTAGAAAGTTTCACAGTTTTCAAATTTTCTAAATTACTGAAGTGATACCTGGAGGATAAGATTCCTCACATACTGATCCAAAGTTTTGGAAATCTTGGAGTAGGTCTGTTTTTATTTTATTGGAGTTATTAGTTTGCGGAAGATGTTGATAGGGTCCGCTTATTAATTAGATGAAGTAATCGCATAACACTTTTAATTTAATATTTGTTTGTTTACTCTAGCTTAGAGCTATAAAATAAATTATTTCTGCTCACCCGACGTGGAGATCGAACACTGAATTTTAGCATTATAAGCCCCGAATATTGCCGTTGAGCCACAGGAAGGCGTTAATTTAATATTTCAACTACGTTGAGAGGATTTGGTTGAGTGCGATTGGTCACCTGGATGGTTCTTATTTTAAAATATCTTAGCCCTTTTATAACGTGTTCACAATTTTTCCATCACTGTAAATAAATATTATACTATATATTAGTATTATTTATCCATCACTGTAAATAAATATTATACTATACATTAGTATTATTTATCCATCACTGTAAATAAATATTATACTATATATTAGTATTATTTATAAACCACAACAACAACAACAATTTACATATAACTTAAAAAATATTTTTTCTTTCTAAGAATGAAGATCATAAAGTCATTTCATGCTTTCGTCTTCTTCTCTTGTGTGATTCTTTTTATGGAGTTTCAACAAGCACATGGAACCTTGGGTAGGGTTTTAGGCCTCAAACTTCTGCTTAGATTGAAAAATGCCATCTTCATTCCTATTCCCATACCCATAATAACTGGGTAAGTTTGAAGTTATTTTTAATCTTTATTGCTTATAATTCAGCTTTATTGGGTGACATTCTCTGTTATTGAACTATCTGTACTGATAATTATTACAGTGCTAAAAACAAGATTTTTTATTATTGCTATTCATTAAATTGTCTCGACTGTATAATAATAACTTACTTCTTTACCATAAAGCTACACGATAGGAAAATAAACCTCACTGTTAGTGTAAGGCTGGTCTATTTTAGTTTATTGATATATGTATATGTAAAGCGTGTTTACGTTCAGGCTAAATAACAACAACCATTTTCTTTTCTTTTCTAGAACATCAGAATATCATAGTGCCTCTTTGACCAGTTACAACTCTCCTACTGTTGGGGATTACAGCGACACCCCGTGGAATATTTATCAATCTAATGAACTGTGGAATAATAATTATGGGTCTTCCCAGTACTGGGATTCTTATTAAGTAGTTAGATATCATAAGTAAGGAGGTACGAAGACTGAAATTTCGAGAACAATAACCACATATATACTGCCAAATAGTCCACAGAACCATCTTCAAAAGATCAAATAAAAACTCGAGATAATCCCAGAAGACAAAACGTATTGGGCAATTCTAAGAATAGTGTAACACTAATAACATAGAGATATTAATATAATTTTGTATATGTATGCTTTAACCATAGAATACTTCAAACACGTGAAATCCGTGGGCAATAGTCTTCTTTCGGAATATCGAAGTACTCTGTTTCCACGCTATATTTTACTATAATTATACATAACTGTATTATTTAATCTCTACAGATAGTTGTAATATGCATTATCTTGCGAATATGTTGGCCATTATTTTTGTTCACCTGGTATTGTTATAACAACGTGAATAGTTCAATCGTTTAGAAGTCACTATACACATACGTTACATCAAAAGTAATACATTCTTAGGTGAGTTGCAGTGTGTAATAATTAGGCTAAGATGACCGTAACGATTTTACATGTTTATAGCAGATAAAATTCCACACTTTTGACATTGTGAGGAACTATTCTCTGGCTCATTAGCAAAAAAATTCTCCTAATTATTTTTGCCTAATTTGTAAACATATACATTGAGCTAGGCGTATATATGTGTGCGTGTATATATATTAACAGATATGTAACTAACTTCAGCAAACTGTACTTCTCAAGAAAATAAGTTTTCATTGAGGGGAAAAAATTATTTGTTTGTTTTTAGTGCAAATCTACACAATAGGATATCTGCACTTTTCTCACTATGACGAATCGAACCACGAATTTTAGGATTATAAGTTCACAAATTTACTAGTGACAAATCGGAGGACGTAATGAAACGAAATAACCATTATTGAAGTCATGTTTCTTTGTATTTTATTTTGCATAACACGTTATGTATAGAAGTAGGTAATAGCATCAACTTGATAAATTAACAAGTATATGTGTTAATAAAAAAGTTTTAATTTGTGTATTTAGTGCAATCATTTTAATCTTCTCTTCATGTTTAGACTGGTTTTTATTATTGTTATTGTGCGTTAAATACGCAGTTTTAAATTTCAATGTTGTCAGAAGTTTCAATCAATGTGGATCACACAGATTGTTTATGTTTGGAATCTATTGTTTTCTTATCCTATATTATCAAGAAACGAAAGGCTAAGTATGTAATGTTAATATTTAATGAACTGAATTTTCTGCAATATTTTTATCCGTTGACCATAAATATCTGTCAAGGACGTTCACGTATCAAAAATAAAATCTGATAACGGATCGTTTGGATTTGAATTAAATAATTACAATACGTTATTTAAAAATTTTATTTAGTGCCTCTTAAAAGTCAGTCTACCTTCAGCTCAGAAACATTCATATAATACGAAAAACACAAGTTCACTTTTCTAATATCCTCCATCTTGTAGTTGTATAAACATATAACTGGAATAAAATAGTTTGGTTAGGAAAAGTAATATATGTAAGTTTTGGCTTTATATCAAGCTAAGTCACGAAAATTTATATTTTGTAATAAGTAGTTAACATCTTAAAATCTCATATTTCTAATAACAATGATGCTATATTAAAGTTTGTGTTGGATCGTATATCTTGTGTGAGATGCCTTTGTTCCTGGATGGTGTTGTCATCATTCTTGTAGCGGTTGTCACATATTCTCGTTTACAGCGACAACAGAAAAATGTTTGTACTAGAAAATAAATTCATTTTACAGATTGCCAAATCCAATGTGCGATGCAAATTTACTACTATGAATTCGTACTTAATTTTCCTTTACCACACATGAATGTACACAAATAAACATATAGATGTATATATATATTTCCTAAATTGATTGAAATTTTAAAATGACAGTACTGGCGAACAAGATTTGTTTGTATTTAATTAAGCACAAAGCTACACATTGGGCAATCTGTGCTCTGTCCACCACGGGTATCGAAAGCCGGATTCTAGCGTTGTAAGTCCGCATGTATGCCGTTCTGCCATTGGGGGCGGCGAACACGGATAGTTCACTTTCGCTAGGCATAATGTTGGTAGTTAAAATCACGAACATATATATTAACAGATATGCCCTTATCCGTCAGAATATTTTTCAAACAAAGTACTCCTTTTTTTTTACATATGACGATTCCATAAAGCAGAGATGTCGCTAGGCGCTGGCACATGGGGCTCGTGCCCCGAAACCCCAGTTAGTGTATGGAAATATCAGAATATAAAACCATTATTGATATTATACTGAAACGCCTCTGGCCCAACCCCAGAATATTTTAAGTTCTTAGCGACGCCTTTGTTATCAAGTACCTTTGTTATCAAGTACTACAGATAGGTATTTATTTATTATTTATTATTTATTGTTATTATTTATTATTATTTATTGTATTAAACAACTTTATTAAGTATATATTACCAGTGGATATAAAAAAAATATATTTAGTTGCAATACATTTCATACGAGCAAATTATAGACTGATGGTTAGGGAGCTCGTCTCGCAATCTGTAAGTTGCGAGATCGAAACCCTTCTCCAAACTTACACGCCTTTTTAGTCGTAGTGCGACGATTAGTCCTGTTATTTCATAATTAGGGACGACTAGCACAGATAGCTCTAGAGAATTTATGTGTTAACTCCCACAAAACAAGCAAAATAAAAAAATCATTCCAAAGGGATTTTAATTAAAATCATAGGGTTATCCATAACAATACAAAAATATTTATCAGAAGTAAATACATAGTGATAAATCTATAAAATGACAATTCAGACGGAGCCTTAATGCATATAAAAACGATCTTATATCTGTTCTCACGAGCAGAAGTGTCGATATCCTTGAGAATCTTCACAGATGTTCTATTTCAGATAAAAACCATATGATATCAGATGTATATACATACACACTACAACAACTTTACTGAAGGTGGTGTTTAAAGGTGCTTAACTGCATTTTTCAAGCAATTTTGAACAAAGACAGTGAATTTTACACTTGATTTTATATATATATAGCTAAAATTCTCAACTTCTATGGTGTAACCAGCGCTCAGTGTTGGCTAACTTTTATATTCAAAACGAATAGGACATAAGATCAAAATTGAAAGAAGCAAAATGGGTGGTAAGACACAAAAGTTTCAAAAAATTGCCTTGGTGATTATTTTGATGTCTTCGTGGTCCTTTTCTTGTCCACCACCGGAAAATATCGCTCCCTGCACGTGTCAGCGTGTGTTCTCAAAATTCCAGTTGAAATGTAAGAAGATATTTTCTTCTTCTGTACTCGAGGAGGTCTTTGAGCAGACAGTAGACTACAGAATAGACAGCTTTCAGCTGGAAGACTCGTCCTTCCCCTACTTCTCCCAGAGGCTCTTTCAACTACTAAAGCCTTCTTCCATAACTCTAATAGGAAATGCGATTCTCAGTTTAGCCGAGCCAGGACACCTTCCTTTCCAAGGTCTGGAAGATTCGTTAGAGTACATATCAGTTAGCAGAGGTCAATACATGAACGACTGGAATTGGTCACGTTTTACAGAGCTTCGTGCTCTCACAAGTATCCTTCTTAGCAGTGGAGACCTCTCCCACATAGGGACCACCATGTTTCAAGGAAACCTTCCGAGTCTTCTTTACCTAACTATAAAAAGCAACCACGTATCAAGTATCGACAAATCAGCGTTTTCGTCACTAGAAAGCTTAGAAGGACTTGCCCTTTGGGATAACGGTATCACTTCCATTGAAAGATCGATGTTTCCAAACGCTTCTTTATCTCAAATAAATCTCAGGTATTAAATTTGTTCCTAACTTATTCGGCTTGAAGAGTGTGAAAATCAATTACAAAATGGCATTATAATTTTGAATTATTTCTATAATGAACCTCTCAAAAATTATAAACGTATGTTAACTACTAAATACATTTTCATTTTCTTATAAACGGTACTGAAAAATAATATGACTATCAAAGTGAAGCATTTTACCCTTGAAGGATTATGCAAATATCATTTAAGTGTTTGTAATTAAACTTTAGTTTCATGTGTGTTTTCTATGGCTTTTGTCACAGAAGCGGCTCATAGTATGGCCCTGAGGCTGCTATTTAGTGTACAGCTCCGTCATTAACCGATTTGAGATCTAATTACAGTTTTGGAGTCAGGAGGTTAGACCCTTTCGATTGCTGTATTTGACCACGCCCAAGATCTCATAGATAAATTTACTACAATCCTGCCTAAAAGAATTTCAATTTGAGGATAGGCTGGTAGAGATCCTGATGAGTAAAAAATCGAATCGGGTATACTTGCGACCCACTATTGGTATTTCTGGCCCACAAAAATATAGCTAATAGACAGAAAAAGTCTAATAGATTAGTTTGCTCTAACCTTGCCTAAATTTGAAGTGACGTGACTATTGAGGATTCTCTCTTGTTTTGAAAAGTAGCAAGCACTGTGCAAGCTTGAAGACTGCATTTTGACTTTTGTATGTGAACAAATTAAAACAGATGTGGACTTTTTGTAGTAAAATAGGTTCTCTGCATTAAGATATACACATATTTTATGAAACTAAAACTTGTTTCGTGTTTTTGTTTTCATTGTTGCAGCTATAATAAACTGTCCAGTCTACCAGATGACATTTTTCAGGGTATGCCAAAATTGGAGTACTTGGACCTGAGAGGTAACCAGCTAAAGAAATTGGGAGAACAGATGCTAGGTGGTGTCTGGAACCAGCTTGAGACTCTTTACATATCAGGTTGATAAATTAAAGTATTTGTTGTTGTTGTTGTTTGAAGTTAAGCACAAAGCTACACAATGGGCTATCTGTGCTCTGCCCACCACTGGTATCGAAACCCGGTTTCTAGCATTGTAAGTCTGTAGACATACCGCTGTGCCACTGGGGGGCTAAAGTATTTGTTACATTGTTTCTTTGAATATGTGTATGTATTTGCATGTCATTGAGTGTTAGTGGTATGTATAAATAAATCAGCATGCATTAATTTTAAGTAATAGCTATAAATTATTCATTGCTGCTTCTTTTGTAAAGATGAGCGTTTATGTTATTATGAAGCATCCTGAAAATGTAAAGATCTATGATGCTCTGAGATACATTTACAGGCTGTTTGTGTGAAAAAAATGACATCTTTTCAAGCAAGACACAGTAACATCGTTAATTTTTTTTTGGTATTTTTCAATTACACAAATATATTTGAAAAGGTAATTGAACTGTGAGTGGCCGCTTTATATTTCAGGATTTGCTTGGCTATGGTGGTGTTTGTGCCCTTAAATGGAAAGACTGAACCGTATAAGTTAGGTTATCGTGTGTGATAGTGGTAGCTGTAAAAACTTTTAGAACAAGAGAAAATATAAAATCACTTGATCTAAACATTTCAAAAGTTATCTTAACCTTCTACTGCATTCATTATTACAATATGTCGGAAAAATATCATTGAATTTTTTATTCAAATGGGTCTATATTACAACAAAACATTTTTATGAAATGCATTTCAGTAAGTAAAAAATGGGTATTGTTAGATATACACGATTGTTTAAGTTTAATGCGAACTTTACGATTTAGGTAGTTTATGTAGCGCGGGTGTCATACTTAGTTATTTTTAGAAGCGATGTTTTATGGTAACTGTGGTTACGTAACTATTATGAATCATACGTTGAGTAGTTCAATTGTTATGAATTAGCTATTGTTTACAATAGTGACATTATTACGTCATGTTGCTAGAACTTTCTGAGTTTTTTTGTTGGTTTAGTTGAGTATTATTGCACCAGAATATCTAGTATTTCGTGGAATGTTCTAGATTTCTGTCGGAGTATAAATACGCGTCGATAAAGCATTATTGAGTGCTAGTTCTAGACTGCGTGATCGTGAGTTTAGAGATAAAGTATGTATAGTGGCGATTTTTAAAGTGAAATTATCACAAACTGTATTGTAATAATAGAGCAAATAAGAATAATTCGTCTTGTCAATTGTGTTTTAAAGTAACTAGACTAGCCTGTGTGTACTTTGATGAAAAAGAGACAATTATTTAAAGCTCTGGATACAACTGTGGCAACTAACAGTGTAACGAACATTTGTGTATACGTTTGATTTGTTTTTAATACCTTATTTTTAAAACAAGCGGATAGTGTTGTTGTTTGTTTATAGTTGAAATTTATCGCCAACAAGTCACATACACCTATTGTAAAGGAGCCGGCCTTACAAAACCTGACAGATATGTTACCTAGGGATAACATTGTTCGATTGAGGAACCAACTAAAATAATTCCATGGTTTATTTAGACTTTTACCTGGAAGTACAAACAGGAAGTACAAATATTGTATGTGTATTAAACAACAAAGTTACATTTGTTACCTGTAAGTTACAATGTGTAACAGAGAGTTAAGTAACTACTTGTCTTCATATAATAGCTTGTTGTTTATTGCTATTGCATTTCTATATACACACACGTATGCGGGGGGGGGGGGAGTTTAGTCCTGCTTTTGTGATGTATCTTCAAGCATAGCAGTAATATTTCATGCATATCTAATATTAATGATAGTATGCCACGAGTTAGTCAACCACTAGCCCAACGTGTAAATGTAGAATATTGTTCGGTGGAGGATTTCTTTAACAAAACAGTAACCACTCCTTTTTTGACCACATTATCAGCAGTAATCTTTCTTCTAGATTTGATGCAACCAACACCAATTCAGAAACTTATGCCATCATAACTCACACAAGAGTTTTTCTATCTCTGATATCAGAGAGGTTATAGATTTTTACTAGAAAGATTTGCCAAATCTTGATATAGTTGATGAATAATTTCATCGATGTAAGACAAGATAGCTTTCTGTACATCTACAGGACAGGCTCTAGATACTGGCTGACTGTTAAAAGCATGGTTCAGTTTAACAAGTATATGTATGTTACTGAAATTCTTTGCCACACTGTCACTATGTTCATGTTCATATGAACGTTCATCAACGTTCGGTTGAATAATTACCTGAGGTTTACACAAATCAAAGAAAGACTGAGTGATCTAGCTTTAATACATAATCATTACGACACTGCTATCAACATTAAAACTGTATATAAGTTATTTATGGATAAGCACCCCAGAAGAATGGAGCATGTTAACATGTTATTTCAATAGTGCATATATGTACGTATATGATAGTCAATGATTGAAATAGCTAATGTACTATTGTTGTACAGAGTTGTTTAAACTAGTAATATAATCTAACAATTAATAACTACTCTGCATATAATAAAAAATACATATTTGTGCTAAGTTAAGTATAACTCACCATGCAGTGTTACACCAGAATGATTATTTGTTGAATTTTCGTTGGATGTTTATGGATCTTATGTAAACAGCCACACAATTGTTTAAGCTATATTTCTTGCAAACTTGCTTCCAGATTTAATTTCATAGCACCAATTTATTTTTCTTTTTTGGAGGGTATGCCTCCAGAACCCCGTAGTATTAGCATGCTTTGTCTGCTTATTGTGCATCGCACAATATGTGTCAGTTGTTGATCACACAAACTAGAACTCCTCTTTCAAACATTCTGCGTACTGGCCTGATATAATAACTTTTTGATTTGTGATCCTGTATTGATTACTCTATAGGATATCATTTCTATAAATAAACTGTTCTATCTGAATTCATGTGAGCAACACTCATCATCACAAAAAGCAAACAAACACACAAAAAACAGCCTGTATGACAGGTGACAATAATATTAACTAGGCTTCGATCATTGTGTAAAAATGCACCTGGTTTAGTTGAATGCAAGTCTAAGTTTTGTCTATGTGTTATTAAGCGGAGCAAAGCTACGCCGTGGGCTATCTGTGTTGTATCCACAACGGGTATCGAAATCTCATTTTTAAAGTCATAAACCCTCAAGCTTAACGCTAAGCCACCAAGGGGCTGACGAATTATCTTTCCCAAGTATAAATCAAAGATCAAATGCATTGGTAGATTGTTATAAAAGTGAATGTCAAAAGAAGAGTTAACACAGTCTCAATTACATTAACTTTATACTTTCTCTTACAGGTAATAAATCAATTACGTATTTGGAAAATACCAAAAGTTAAGGTCCTAGAAGTCCCCCAGTGGGACAGCGCAAAGCTTACGAACTTACAATGCTAAAATCCGGAGTTTAATTCCCCGCGGTGGACACAGCATATAACCCAATGTGACTTTGCGCTAAAATACAAACAAATAAGGTCATAAAATAAGAGTTTGTTTGTTTGTTTGTAGTTTGAAGTTAAGCACAAAGCTACACAATGGACTATCTGTGTTCTGCCCACCATGGGTATCGAAACCCAGTTTCTAGCGTTATAAGTCCGCAGACACACAAAACTTGATATATATATATATATATATATGGAAGAAATGGAATAATGAAGCTTCTGGAAATGGAGATGACTATCTGTGCTCTGCCCACCACGGGTAATAAAATAAGAGAAAAATAATATATATATGAAGGCTTTTCACAAAATGTTTCTACACTACAGTTACAGCAATTGTCATTTCCAAAAGATAACTTATTCTAGTATATTTGTCCCCCAGTGGCTCAGTGGTAAGTCTGCAGAGTTATATCGCTGAAAATCGGGTTTCGATGCTCTTGGTGGGCAAAGCACAGATAACTCACTGTGTAGCTTTGGGCTTTATTACAAATAAAGAAAGTTAATATGTTGTGTCTGAATTTGTATTTATGGCAAATCTACTAAGGTTCTCTGTCCCTAATATTGTCCCTAACTGTGCTGACCAGAGGGAAGCCAACAGCACCTTATTTCACACCATTTACGATAAAAGATTGATTGTCACTCTTACACGCACTCATAGCTCAAAGAACGATAAATATTTTGTGGTATCGCACGGATTTGAACTAGGCTCTCAACTCCAACATCCAGGGCTCCATCATAGCTCTAATCTGTGCACTATATTGTGACAACGATAAGTACAATTTCACAAGATAAAAAAGTTTAATGTTTCATATATATACACCATACCCCAGTAAACAGACACTTATTCTAGAAATAATGTAGTTTTATTAAACAAACGGACAGGAAAATTATCATTCATATGTAGTAGGTCTGCCCTTTGCAATGTTTATGGCAGAAACACATTGTACGTACAAGTTCTAAAATCTGTGGGATTACATATCACTCTCAACGAAGAACTTCGATTAGGTGTCCCTAGAAGTTGGTTGTGTGGGACGTTTTCGCAGGGCGCAATCAGAGATAAGGTTCATACCGGCAACAACCTGGTCACGGAAGAGTGATAATTCCATCACTCTCAAACCATAAACTAACACTTAGCATGAAAACACTGCATTGTCTGGTTATCGGCGTAGTGAGGTGGCAGTTTCTTGTTGATTTTGACCGTCCGTCCATCGTCCAATTATTCGACCTTGAGAAAACCGGTCAAATCCGAGAATCCTCCCGTTTGCTATTTGTATTCTGACCTATACTTGTATTTATCGTCATTGATAATGTCAAACTGTATTCTTGGGAAGTATATTTACAAGACCAAAACCCACCAAAACACTAAGCTTGAAGGTTTTCAACACTAGAACTCGAGATTCGTTCCTTGTTTTAAGCCCTGTGCAAATAGCTCAGTGTGCAGCTTTGCGCTAAATAAAACATACAATACACAATAATCAACAAAAGTAAATAATTTTCAAAGTAAATGGCTTGTAATGGATAAAAAGTGATAGAATCGCCAATTTGAGCGAGACTGATTTATAAGAAAAATATCCTTTAAAATGTAACTTTAATGATGTGACGTCACCATCAGGGTAAAGGTCTCATATTCAAATCCTAAGTTTCATTTTTGTGAGTCCATTTTAAATAAAGAAAATGTATGCAGCACTAATTTACGTTTGTACTAAATTGAATAATTTATCTAGATATTTTTAGTTTTTAAAGTGTCAGGTACCAGAGGGTGCTACGGCAGCATTCACCCCTGTTTTTGCTTGTATTGTTCTGCTGTTATATAAATATTGTTTTTAAAGAACCAACTTAAACTTTTTGTGTCAGTTATTATCACGGTCTCTGAGGGTACTAAATGCGACATAATTACATCTTTAGAAAACCACCTGCAATGTGACTGCGCTCTGAAATGGATCTCTGACCGATATCACAAAAGAGAAAGACCCCGAGAGCTTGATATGGGCACATGCGTAGAACCGCCACAGTTGAAAGGTCAAGATCCAACAACAGCATCCTGGTATCTTATTGGCTGTTTTATTTAATGTAACCTATTCTTGCAACATATCTACCTATCCATAAAGGCAAATTTTTTGATGTCTCTATATTATTGAAGAAATATTAATGAGAAACGTATTTTGGAAAATATATTCGTGAATAATGCCACGTAGATATATGTATCACCGTTTTCAAAACACGTGATATACTTTTATGTTTTATAAAATCAACCAAAACTATTGCAAGGACTATTGTATGATTGAAATTCTATGTGAATAAATGAAAGTTAAAAAAATAATCCTGTCTCTTGCGGTTATTTTGGAATATGTATTTGTCTGTGTGTTTGAGAAAAGCCCACCATAAGTAAATGACAGACTCAGAGTTACCAACATTATTTAGAAGCCAATTATAATGTATAGAAAATATTATGCGTGATTTTAGAATGACTTTTATTTATTACACATATTCTTGTGGCTTAGTTATTTTCATCTTTTTTGCTCTTCACTTATTTGTCGTAAAATGGCTTGTAATAAACCCATAAACTTTGATAGTTGATGGTAGAGTTGCTTCAACATGTTGATGTGTATCACTTCAACTTGTGTATTTCGGGTGCCTAAGTACTGTTACGTCTCCGTTTG